ATTCCTCTGCACGCAATACAAAAGTGCCGACAACATTAAACATGTTCCTTAGGTCCCCCTTAATACTTCTGCTCTGGTCGATTGAAATCATCGCTAAAATCCCACGGGAATACCATTGCTCCTCTATTACCTTGCCGACCCATATTATGTCCAGTGCTAAACAAATTTATTTCTTGCCCTGTATCCAACATTATTAAAATCTCTGTGCAAGAATTCGAAGGTGTCTTTCCACCGAAATTAAAGCAAGCGAAAGTAATTCCTGCCTAGATCTACAAAAGTGACGATGAAATGAACGTGGAAATTATCGGCCTATTTCATTATTGTCTATGTTTAATAGGATATTTGAAAAATTAATGTACCAACGGCTAAAACCTTTCTTGGCAAAAACGATATCCTATTTTCTTCACAGCACGGCTTCCGTGAAAAGCATTCCACACAACACGCCGTTATGGACATTGTTAATATCATACAAATAATATGACCTAAAATTATTTACTCGTGGGATCTTTTTAGAATTAAAAGAGGCCTTTGATGCTGTTAATCATTAAATCTTACTAAGAAAAAAAACTCAATCACTATGGTTTTCTTCTTAACTTATTGGCTGTTCACAACTGAAATAGATTCTAATTTATCATTGTAGAGGAGACTGGTTAGGACAGCTGGCAAACATCAAAGTTGAAAACGATGGTGCTGTAGGTTATGTTGGAAGCTCCCTGACTGTGCATAATCCTTTGGTTTTTGTTCACAAATTGTGACTGAATAAATTTATGAAATGTTTCTACTGGTCAGTAAGTTCAAAATGATAGGAATGCTATTGAACGTTGTGCACGGTCAGGTCAAAAAAAAGCTAGAAAAAACATATAACAACGGGTTTCCCAACCATTCCACTTTAATTACCTATGAATTTATGCACCATTAGTAAGATCTCATGTGGTGTCCCACAAGGCTCTGTTCTTTATTCCTTATCTATATTAATGATTTTCATAACTCTTAGCGAAATTTGTGTTTTATCTTTTTGCAGATGACACAAATTTATTGTATGCCGACAAAAATCTAAAATCCCTTGAAGAAACGGTCAACAGCGAACTGGTCAAAGTGTCGGATAGGCTCAATGAAAATAAGCTAACATTAAATGTTAAAAAGTCAAACTTTGTTATCTTTCGTCAGTTACCAACGTAAGATGGACCATTCGGTCAATATTCAAATGTTTGATAATAGTAATCACTTTCTTACTTCCCTTGAGGGTAAGGATCATGTAAAATATCTACTGGTGTCTTGCTGGACAGTCATTTGAGCTGGAAATACCACACTGACAATGTAGGACTAAAAATAAGTAGAATTATTGGAGTTATTGCCCGTCTTAGGCACCTTGTCCCTTTTACTACTCTATTAAGTATTTACCGCCCTTTGATTCTACCCTACATGTCCTACGGTTTGGCTGCTTGGGGTCAAGCTGCTAAATCCCATTCTACAAAAAGCTAAGCTATGGAACTCCATTTGCGATGAACCCCGTAAACTCCCCAAGAGAGCTTTTAATAAACATATCAGTGACTTGTTGCTTTCGTTATTAGAGGCCGAGGACGATTATGATGAAGCGCCCATTGTGCTTCAAAAAATAGCGAACTATACGGTTTGATTTATAGAGTATAAATAGCTTAGTTATATTTACCAGTAACTGTTACAAGTGGTTGGATTTTATTTATTTATCTATTTACATTTAAGCTTTATTTACTTGTTTATTTGTAATTTATCCCTGACTGCCGTACCTCTGTATCTCCGCCCGCCTCGTGTAGCATCTGCTATTTGTGGACGGAAATGGGCTTCAAGCAAATGTTAATTGTTATAATGAAGTGTGTGTGTAACATTAAAACTTTAAATATTTTAAAAGCCATTCGTGAATCATTTGCATTGTAAAGTAGCAATACGTGTTTCACCTGTCAAACAGCCGACAGGTCTGGTAGCTAGACTACTCTCCTTTTCAGCCACCTGCATTACAGTTTGTACTTACATTCACCTACAGCGCTCTAGAAGGATATTCTGCGAATCAGGGATTTGCCCAAAATATATTGCGAAATTCTGGCAAGACGTTAAAACATTAAATATTTCATAAGCCATTAGCGAATTATTTGCATTGTAAACTGTAGCAATACGTGCTTTACCTGTCAAACAGCTAATAGGTCCAGTAGCAGGCGGTGTGCGTCACGACCCACAAAGGTTCATGGGTAAAACTGTTACTGTGCCTCATTTCAATCGTGACACGGTCGAGTTCGCATCTCGTAAGAGAAATGAATCAAACCCAGGGATGAAAACACTGCTGCCTTTTCCGAAAAACATTACGGAACAGAGAGATTTCGAGAATTTTCAAGATCTCATAGTGGCCTTAGATGCTTGCTATTGGCTTCACAAGACAATTTCAAGAAGTTTATCGCGATTCGGAGACGAACGTGCGATCTAGCCGACTAATTTCCTGCTTCTCAAAGATTTTATGTACTGTTTGGTTTATATGCATGTTTTTATCTCATAGTGAAAGAGATCTGTAGTTCATACCTGGCTTTGCTTAACTAAAAAAAAAATTCGTCCATTAGAAGTGTTTATATATTTGATGGACTTTGTTACCGACAAAGCAGGGGGAGCGCGTGCAAACAGCAAGGTGAGAAATCGTCTCTCATAACAATTTTATTTTCATCGACAAGTTTATATTATATTGAAAATAGTGCCCGTTTGAAATCCTTATGCGCAAATAAATCTTCTATCAGGCAAGGGGAAAACAGACCGAAAGAGCCGGACAGCTGCAGCACAATCGGAATTTCACCGAAGCTACAGTCGCAGAAATAAATAGTGAAATAAACCACGATCTTGTCTGTGCGGTCATTGAAGTGAGCGCAGTATATCGATTTTGTTATAAAGTAAAACCTAACCTCACAGTTTTAAAATCCTGTATGATGTTGTCTGGATCTTCGATAATGGTTTTGTATTTTGGTAGAGATTTTAATATAACAATTTATTCCCTCACATAAGTTTACGCAAAGATTTGCATACACATAGCACACACCGCATGCAAATTATTTTAAAGTCACGCTTTCAGTTTCCGCACTGGGTTATGAAAAATGTTTTTTTTTCCAAAGGTTATTACAATATTCAAACTCATTTACCTTTTGTGGTTTAAAATAGAACAAACTCTTCCTGGATTTGGCGTTACTCGCTTCACGTCGGCATCCGCTTCGACATGTTTTCTCAGCCCGTTTCCCGGGAGTTGTGCCACTTGGCTAAGACGATGTCTCAATTCCAAGACACTTTCAACGGCTCATAACGGAAAAACTAACAGGGGTAGACCCGGGTAGACCCCGAAATTTGCAAAGAAGAAAGGTTGAAGTAACAATATGGCCAAAATAATTCGATAAAACCGCTAACAGTAACCAGCAATAAATCCAAGAAGAACGGCAAAAACAACACTCCAATCGTCATGGCGGTCTGCACATGACCGAGTAATTCAAACTTTGTCACAAACGCTCAAGAAAGCAAAATATTAAAAAGTAACGCAACTGCTATCAAGATAAAGTGTTCCGATAGCTTTCCACGGCGGTATAGTGTCGAGATTACCAACACAAGCTTGGAATATTATAAAGCGAAAATTTCACCACATATACCTCTGAACACGGCTCTTTCCGAGCGCGAAAATCATTCTACAAATGACGCATTCTGATTGGTCGAATCTCGTGACGCACACCGCCTGGTCTAGTAGATTCCTCTCATTTTCAGCCACCTGCAAGGTTCGCTTCAAACTTTTCCGTGTTCCCAAAAGCGAGTGGAAGAAATATCCCTTGAAATGTAATTTACCCTGAAACATCGCGGACGACATCATCGACAGCAATCGAGAAGGTCAGTCATCTATTAATCTTGAAAATTGCAACAGAATATCCAAATTGTTTTTTGATACAAAAAGAAGTCTGATACCAAAACTAAAAGATAAAGTGAAGTGAAAGTTGCTCCTATTCAGGACATCAGCCATCACTGAACTTTCCATAAAAATGTTACCAAAGTGACCTGCCCAACTAACACCCTTTCTTAAGGGCAATTTCAACTCCTTTATGCTTTTCCCTGATTTCTTACAAACACAGTTCCATGATGCTGTTTACAAAATGTTTCCGAGCGAACCAAACCTTCCCTAACATGAATCTTTCCTTTTGCTTTGCGTTCTAGCCATAACAATCTCAGACGGTATCTTTTTCCTAACATATTATCCTTTTGCGACTAAAAACTGTTATTACGACGACAGGTACGAAGGAGCAAAAGGATAGAGTAATTAAGGAGTGAGATAAATAATCGGAATAGAACGAAACTAATAAATGTAGAGGATAAGTATCGGGATAAATAGGACGCACTGTGGTCGTTTTTATTTGGGCGGGGGAGGTTTTTGTGTCGTGACATGGAAATCGAAATAGATAGAAGGTAGGGAAGAAAGACGACACTGAAAACACCCACTTCGTCCTAGCGTAGTGACTACATGCCACCCTAGATTAACGCTCTGTGCGTTGATATGAAAAATATACCATGCACCGCAAGCTAATTATGAAATTTACCCACTTAAAAAAATATGGCAAACAACGAATAGCCCTCGTAAGATAATACTGAGAATGAGAATAACCAGCTGATAACGTACGCGAGGAGAGAGAAGGAGAGGGCTGGAAAAATCGCCATTTCAAATTCGCCAAAGCGAACAAATACCACGCGAAGGAATAAATTATAGAAAGATCTAGAATATCGGGTTGCAAAAGCACCTGAAAATGCTCTGGTATAGGTTAATTAAACATTTTGTAGGTAATCTTCGTTTGCGTCCCATATTTGACATGCTTGATACACAGACCAAAATATTCTTTTTTTGACCAGGTATTCTCGTTTTACAAAGATGAATGAAAAGGCCGCTCTTACGAAGATTCTTTTCACGATCCTCTTTCTTGGACTGGTAAATAAAGCAGTAACTACAGATCAGTGGGGGCAAGATGCTAAAGGGACACATTTATGAAACGAGACTGGTACGATCCGGGTATGCGGAGTGCTTGTTTATATGCAGAGAGGAAAAAGTCTGTCAAAGCTTCAACTTTGTGGTCAATGAAAGCAGGTGTGAGTTCAATAATCGCACAAAGGAAGCCTGCAGCCCCGAGGATTTTGTTTCCGACCCTGTTCGTCTTTATGTCAAACTAGACGTCAGTAGAGGTAAAGAATTTTGAAACTTTTTTAAATCGTATACATCCGCTTGTTAGGCGCTTATCTCCTCGAAACCTCTTCGTTTCACTCTCAGATAGATATTTTTTAGTTATTTTTTCTTCTGTAAAAGAGCTATATCACAAGGAAATTGCTGTATTAAGTCAATTCTGTGCTGAAGTCATTACTTAGCGCCTTCACCCTTACACAAAATGCTCCATTAGATTAACGAAGAAGATATCAAACAAATTTCATCACCACAATAACTTTTTTCATGATTTTTGCAGACACAGTATTACAATTTGAAATGTGGGCCCACTTTTTTCAGTTCAGTTCAATTCATGTTTATCCTTGCCATCAGTAGCAACGGACTGCAGGAAACAGTTGCAATGCCTAAATACACTCTTAAGTAACAAAACTGGACCATAATTTTCGGAACTCAATTGGTCCGAGGATAAGTCGTAGGATTTTATAACGATGGCAAATAGCGTGACGTAACTTCTTTTAATACGTTCTGTTTTGGTGCTAAAAATGAGTGAGTTCATATAGGAAGGTGATAATTTGTCACACAAAGTCACACTGAAGAAATTGATGGGAGAAGATAACTTGTAGACAAAATAAAACCCAAATTAACAAATGAATGAAGAAGCGTTGACTGTACTCTGTTCTGCTGTAAAGCACACTTAAAGTGTCTACAGTATGAAAGAAGTGTATAGAGGAAAACACGAGACGCCTAGTCCAGTGTTTCTCCCTACTTCTTGAGTGTTCTAGCCGCTTCCCGCCTGCTTTACAACAGAACAGAGCATAGTCAAGGCTTCTTTATTTGTTTTATGATAAAGAATCTATTAAATTCCCCACGCATTGCTTTCTAATTTTCAAACAAACTATATTTTCAAAGCGAACCAGATTGTCGTCAGAATGTTCTGCACTCTCGTTGTAAAACTCCCTTTATAAGCCTATCACAATCCTTTTAGAATGGGCCAAATGACATAAAATGATTTGATTGGTTGAATAAGACAAACGCTGTCAAAGCTGTCAAAACATCAAAGCTATCACAAAGTGAAACGAGCAAATATATCGTTCTGTGAATTTGAATGCAGAAGAAATGTACTCTTTATGTCCAAAAATGAGTTTCTAATAATAATAATGATAACCTCATTTTAGTGTCAATGTATTTAATTAATATATAATTGGGGACACTTTCCCAACTACTAGCTCTAATGTTATCGGCATACAAATTCACGAACGACCAGTAGCCTTGTATTGGGTAGGTGAATTTTAGGGAATTTTGAACGCTTTTTCCGCGAAAGTACATGTAAAACTGAAACAAAGTATGAGTAGACAGCTGCCTTCGCTTTAACTTCATAAAAATACCTGTAGACAATAGACATTAAAAGAACTGAACCAAATAACCGAATTTTATTTGTTTATAACTATAACAACATGAACATTGATCTGTTAGTTGCAAAGGATCAAATTTTCAAACGGGTTGTTTTTCAATTCTAGTTCCCCTTGGTTCTATTTCTGAACTGCCAGCGACATCATGCCACGAAATAAACGAAAACGAAGGTAAAAAAATGGACAGCCGCAAATATTGGATGTCCTTAAGTGGAACAATTGTTCAAGTTTACTGCAATATGAGTACCGTTCCGGAAGGTAAGTTCAATCCTTCCATCAGTATTATTATCGTTTGACGAACATCACAATAATGCCAGTTGAGGTATAACTTTCTGGGACCGCAGCCTTACAAGAGGTCTAGGGTCACCAATGCAACTGCCACAGGACTTTCGCAAAGACCGTTCTAAGAATGTGAGCTCGGTTCCAATCAGAGTTGCTTTCTGAATCGTGTTTATTGTTGCTGCTTTTATTTTTATCATTATCATTCTTCTTGTTCTCTTCTTGTTCTTCTGTTGAAGTATAAATCTACACTTTTAATCCTCTAGAGTTGCTCCTTTCTGATTTAGCATAAATAATTGTATCAATATAGCAAGAAAGGTTCTGAACTTATTCCATTCTCCCCTTCAACCAGAAGACGTTAGACGAATGCTGAACCCGTTTCCATCTTTGACGGAGTCATAGCCGTCAATCTCCTGAAAATTACCTGCTGGTGGCATTAAGATATTCGATGTTATGGTCAGAAGATGACTTGGTGTTAAAAAATCCAGATTTCCATCCAGGCTCACTTGATGGGACCGTAAGCCGCCGGGGTCTCCACCTACAGTCTTCTTGAGTCACCGGTTGCTCTTCGTAAGGTGAAATTCGAACAGCTCGGCAAGTACACTGCGCGTTCCGTTCACCTGTTCGGCGCAGTCCTTATTAACTCCTTAAGATATTGAAGTCCCGTTCAGACCAATAGAGAAAGCGAAAGATGTTTCGCTGGCCCTCAGGCAACAGGACTTGATAGAATATTATATTGATGTCATCCATAAATGTGACTGGTTCTTGGCGAAACTGGTAAGAACAACCACAAGAAGTTGATTCGTCAGTTCTGGTCCTTGTAGCAACTTGTCTATGCATTATTGTTCAGCGATATACCTCCAAATCTGGCCCTACAGTCGAACACCACCCTTACCTTGTTTGGCTTCTTGGCATGGTAAATGCCATGATGGGGTATAATTATACCAAACTTGATCCGTCAGATTTAGCCACAGCTAAAAGCGAAGTTCCCATTGGTAAATTTGTAACTTAAATCAAACAATAATTTTGTTTTCCACAAATCAGTTAACTTAAGGGCACATTAATGTGACTTTTGAAGGAAAAGCTAAGTGATTTTGGAGTGAGACAAATCTTGTATCGAGTTGATATAGCCTTATATGTACACCCAAAAAATAGTCTTTGGTCACATTTAAGAGTAATAATGGCTCTTGATCACAGTAGATAAGGCGTGGAAAACAAATTATTGGAAAACAAATCAGGCCGAAATTTTGCGTTCGACAAGTTTACAAATTCTTGCCAATAAATCTGTGTGCGTGCAAACCATTCTTTTATTTTTTTATACACCACATCTGAGGAGAAAGAGTACTATGAGGCGCTGTTTTTATCATACAGACCTCGTACAAAATGCAGTATTTCACAATTTTTCAAGACAAATTGCATTCATTCAATACTCAGGACCATGGAAGCACGCGTCAGGACTTTTAATTAGCGGAACCGTTCAAAAAATGTCCAAATTTGCGCCAAATTTGAGAAGAAATTTTAAAAGAGTTACGCTTCAACGTGATAAAGAATTTATTGAGTCTATTTTTCAATAATGGTTTTATAACGATGTGGAATCTTAAAAAGCGTTTGATACGCTCGGCATTTTGAGTACTCCTGCAAGCGATGTTTATAAACGCCTGAAAACAAACGGCAAAACGATGAAAATTACACTTTTGAGACTACCAACAATCAATAAAGAAATATAATTCGGTAGAACATTTACAGAGACAACAATTTTCATTCACGAAAACAAATGAGTATTTAAGTGTCTCTAAGAATCCTCAAGTCTTTACTAGTAAGCTGAAAGATAAAGTTTATGTTTTAGGCCGCCGGTTTCCCGGTGTTTGCTGTTTTCAAAGATGAACTCACGACAAGAAAATCGCTCAAAGCTTTCTTTCTACAGCCAAAATTATAACTAAATAATCTTCGGAAAGTTTTTTCTTTCTATTTACGGTGAATTAATTTCGACTAAAGGCTTTTTAAAGTTCTGTAAGCTTAAGCTTATATCAAACCTCATAGTAGGTCAGATCAGTGTCTCAGTCAAATCTTAATACAAACGTGCATAAACTAGCTTCATAAACTGCGCCACTGGACTTCATGAAAGTAGATATGAATACAATAATTACTCAGGCTTACCATATTTCGAGATGCAGCTCCTGAAAGCTATCAAGTAAGGTAAGGATCGCTTGAGCTTTTACAATTCTCGTACGCATCCAGCAAGATGAAAAACAAAAACGATGCCATCCGAAATCGGATTATCGGCTTTGACAAGCGACGCATTTCTCTACCAAAAACGCAATAAACAAACCATCCATGAATAAGAGAACACTCTTGATAGCAACTGTATTTCATTTTTTACATCTGGTGGAAAAAGACAGTAAAAAACATCACAAGTTGGCTCAAAACTCTGTCAGCTTCAGCTTTCAAGATGCTGCGTAAATTTTACGCATGAACTCACCTGTCAAATTTTAACCAATCAGAGCATAAAAATTGGACTTGGAGCGTGACCAACACGTGACCATGGTAAGAAAAGGTCTTCCCCGCCTGTATTTTAAAAAAACTGGCTGAATTTTTGCGTCTGAGGTCAGTTTGAAATCAAAATTGTAATAGTGCGGGGCGATACTGACATAAACACAACATATTTGATATGCATTTAAAAAAAAAAGTAAACGTAAACCTGCGATCATTTGAAAACGAGTAACTTCAAAAAAATACTCGACCTTGATGGGTCGACACCTGAGCCCGCGATACGGTCAGGTGATACTGGTCAGCGGATACCCTGTTTTGACAGCTGTCAATTGATGACAACATTGATATGCAATTAGCTTTCTCCTGGGCTCCCAAAGTAGCTAGAAAGTGTGAGAGTAAACATTGGTATGCTTGTGGTGCGGACGGTGTACGGTCACATGATTACCAAATTTCTGGGATGGGTAGATTTACTTACCCATCCCAGAGCGCCAGAGCTCTGCTAAGATGAGATGGTACCTTCGAGAAAATCCCTTGGAAATGATGCTGTTAAGTTCATAAAGTTAACATAGTCTCGGCCTTAAATTTTCTAACTCTTGACAAACTTCTTCCTTAACTTTTTGCCGTCAGTTTTGGTCGTTTTGGTTGCATATGGACCCATGCATATTAGGCTTCCTGGGCACATTAAGGGCGCGGTTACACCTTGGGCTCATTGTTATGCAATTGTTTAAAGGGTATGCACGAAATACAACGACTGATATCGACAGATTTACGAAACATTTATAACTGGATTAAAGATGAGGGCATGTTAAATTTAAAGTGTTCACGTGCACGTGTGGCACGCAGACTGCTAACAAAATGTTTATTCAAAAGTAACAAACAGGCTCTGAATCAAAACTTGTTTCAGTGATTCTTGATAGTATGGAAATAATAAATAAGAAAATCGTTAAAAATTCAACCAAATTTAACCAAAACTCCTTGTACTTTTTTTTTCGCCTCAAAACCCTTGAAAAAATTGCACCCAACTAGCCGCAATCGCAGAAACACTCTCCGGAAGCCCCGAGAATCCGTCGTCCAAATAAACAAAACAACAATGGCTCATCGAATCCCAACGCTTAACTAAAGGCCTTAGTAACTTCGTAAAACAGAGCTCAAAACAAATGGAAGGACCTTAAACGTAAAAAAAAAAAACCCATACCTCTAAAGGGCCAGGAAAATCCTAAGAACTTCTGATACCCGCTAAAAATATCCACGTGATGGTATCCGAGGTGAGAAACCAAAAGTTCTTCTCGAAAACTTTGCAAATCCTCGTATCAGTGAAACGAATGCTTGTAAAGGCCAGGGATAAGGTGCCGGAGGTCAATGACAGGCCTCAACCAATAGCTTGGAAATATCCTTCTCAACAAAGCTTGGATGGAGCTCGGCTGAACGATTATTTCTTCTAAAGCATGGTGCAGGGACTCTACTGAAAGGTAACTTATAACCCTCAGATATCACATCAAGTACAAAACGGGAGGCACTAATGGTAGACTCCCAATAACTAACACACTGTTTCCGGCGGCCTTTCACGCCAGGGGAGCCGTCGATAAACTCAACCCCTCAAATGATCAATAATGAACGGGCACTCATCAGTTTCCATAATGTCCACATCAATGTCAGATAAGTGTCATTAGATAGTCATCCCCGGCTAGGTGGACGGTCTGAAAATAAAGAACTGGACACAGACTTAGTACAATTACGCATTTAATGGCCAAAATTCCAACACTGAAAAGGAAAAGAGAACAGAAAACACACAGAATACAAATATATACTAAACTTCGTATCGCAAATGTTGTGCTATTCTCATTAGCGTTAAAGCCGCCGCATGGTGATTTAATCAACTAGATAACTGCGTGCTCCCTTGTAAGGCAGTCTATTGGCCCTATACGGTCCCCAGGGAAATTCCCTAGGCCTTTTATATGCCCTAGCAAACAAATTCGCCGTCTTCTCGCAAGTGTACTCAACAACGGACAAGTAAGCTTCCCCACCCTCCTCCCCTCCAGCGGCGCTGTTTTTCACCCATAACTTATCTATCAAGAGGCATAGGGTGGCTTTTATGTGTATGTGAATTAGTTTACTATGTTATGTGTTGAGCGGAATTCTAAAAGAGTGCTTTTATAGAAAGAAAGAAGACGTTAATTTCAAGGATAACAGATTCTGTTCATTTCAACGATTATACCTTGCTGCCAAATTTTAACATGATAGATCGATCATTTATTGATAAAATCACAGAGTGCTGGCTTCTATTCTTTCCGCAAACTTGGACACGATTTCCCAATTTGGTACAACTGTGGCTTAAAGCATCGCTGTAAAGCGCGATCTACCAAATAAAAATACATCTTCCTAAACCTTCATCATTGCACAGTGTCTCTGTAAAATTCTATCTAAATCGCCTCTAAGACCGGCGAGATATAAGCGTTTTAAAAGACGTAACACAAGCAAAATTTTGCCTTATGAATATATTCATAGATAGGTGTCGCCCGCGACCTTAAGATTTCCATTTAAGCTATTAAGATGGTAATAAGCAAAATTAGCGGGGATAGAGCTTTCCAATAGTACTTTACTTATTCAGCAAATTTTGACCAATACTGACAGAGCCACGGACAAAAAAAAACATGCAACATTTGGAGAAAAAGTACACTGCCACTACTCTTTAGAGATTTAGCCAGCCAAAATATCATGCGAAATTAAGGCGATGAAGTGGGCAACAGAACTGGCTATAAAAACAAAGGCAAAAGGAAAAAGGAGAGAGCGAAACAAAAATCGAATTGGAATCGCAAAAAAATAAAACAAAACAAAAGTTCAAATTTTGGCTTATGCACATGCGCGAAAAACCAAAAAAAAAGATGCTTGATTACACCCAATTAGCAGAAATTTAAAGTCCTTAATGTTGGATTTCTCGCTTTTAGCCATTCCCATGCTAACTAGCCAAAAAATAGTTCAAAAGGGAGGATTTAGTCCAAAATGCAGTTTTTCCGAAGAATTAATTGGCTAACGGAACCAGCGTTCTCTTTGAATGACTTGCTCTTTATTCTCAGTAAACCATAGATGGTCTCTGCCGATCACAAGAAGGGGGGTTTCATAATGGCGATCTTTGGCTTGACGAATTTCCTGGCTAACCTTTATCTTCAGAAATTTCTTGTCTTCTAGTGAATATTCTTGCTCTCCGTCGTTTCTTCTTTCACTGAAGTCTAGTTGGGGCATCTTGTTCAGTACTTGTAGAATAACGATTTCTCTAACTTTTCTCTTTATTATCTTCACCATAAAGTAGTGGTCGAGGTGTCTACCTGAACCGACTCCTTTGCAGCAACTCTGTGGCAACTAACATCTGTTTTGCTCTGAACCGCACATACACAGAGGCGCAACAATTACATTAAGTAATTTTGGTTAATTACGCGTCGATCATATCTGGCT